AACTTGTAATGGTTCTTTATGATTAAATAAATAAACGACACCAACCTGATTGTGGGATTAAAAAAAAAAAAAAATAATAATATTTCAAATAAGTTATATATTGTTAACTTAGCACAGTATATCTTTTTTTAAACTGTTTATAATAATTTGTAATGTTGAGCAAGTTTTAAAACAGAGATTATCAGGTCTGTGAAAATATTTTAAATATTTTATTATATAATTTTTATAACTCAAATCTTTTTTTCAATTTCTCTTACATGTTTAACCTTTATGATAACATTAATTCATATTTTAAAAAGATCTCTTTTTTATGAAAAAAATTAGTTAGTTCGGTTTCGAGTTTATTTAAGTTCTATATAATCTTTAAAATTAATATCACAATAAACATTTTCAATATAATTTATACGTATTTCAATATTTATTTATAAAATATTGAAACTTACAGTATATTCGTAATCACTTTCTATTCTAAAATAAACAAGCTTGTTACATGATAACAAATTACTATGCTTTCACCTATAGCATGGCCAATATTACCTTCATCTTTTTCACAATAAGATAACACTTTTTATCACCATTCAAACGATTACTATTCTTATAGCCATCATGATTCGTTTCATCCAATCAGATGGAAATTTATCCTTATAAATTACTGGAAATTGACAGTTATCTTTTCATTCAAAACTGGGCAATAAACCATATTTAAATATTAGGTTATTTAACGTATTGTGAGATTATCGAGTTTAGGGATTTGGACCTATTATATTTAATATGGAATATACATATGTCGATAACGACATCTAAATAATGTGTAACTTAGCCCAGAAAAAAATCCGTGATATAAAACCGTTTCTCAAGGAAACAATCAGAATTACATAAATTTTAATTTTATAATCAGATCATGAATTGTATAAGGAAAACGTAATAATTTGGTCATACGATATATCGAAAACTATAGGAAATTTCAAATGATTCAATTTTACGATAAATCAAATTTTATTAACTACCTCATGGTACAGTAATAAGTATATTTCTTTATGGAAAAATTGCTTGCGTAAAACTAACGTAACAATACGTAAAACTGATCAATTCGCTTGGAATGTCATAGAAATTTTTTGTTGAACGTACTGTAATTTGTTTTAATTATACAAAATCTTATATACTGTATATGGTTACTTCTCACAACGAATTCGACTAATTAAAAAAGATTTTTTACGAAACGAATCACTTAATAAGATTGCTATTTCTAGGGCTTTACATGAGCTAATGGAAATGAAATAACATATAATCGGAAGAAAATGATTGTAACCGTCTTTTAGAGATTTTAGACGAGTTATGGTAGAAAATCTAGATAGTGATAGGAAGCAACATCTCATATTATTACAAGATATCGATAAGGTACATGTTATTTATTAATAAACAAATTTTTTTTAATAGACATGATGATTTTTTTAAAAAAAAAGAAAATTCTCGTCAGACTGTTATCCATTTGCAATAATTTCGCTTTATACTACTTGATACAAGGATGATGTGTAAGCGGTGGTAACCCATTTGCGAGAAATTTCGTTTTGTATTAATGTGGATAAGGATGATAAGGAAACGGTGGTATTAACTGACTGACGAGAGGCTATGATTACAAGCGATGGTACCACAATGGCAATAACGGCTCACTAATAATAAATCTGATCTATGCAATTTTATATTAGATACAGTAATTTTATTTTGGGTATTCATTAATACGAATATTATTTTTACAGATACAAGATATTTAGAAAGGGCTAAAATTATTAGCGGATGCTGATAAAGAAATATTACTGAAAAAAAAACATAATATAATTTATCTATGAAGATTCGAAACTGACGAACCCCCAAGTTGGAGATAGCATGCTATCTATAACATTGGTAACTTAAAGAGATACTCTTCATTCATTATTTTTATCCGAAATCTATCTAATCAAGATGCCAATTACAAATTCAGAAAGCGAACACATTTATACATAATCGTCTTCTAGGAAAAAGATGCGCATCCGACGTTAAAGATTTAACATATGATGACGCGTTAGCTAACGGTATAGTTGACCTTGCATCTCCTCAATACCAGATAATAGAAGACGACTGAAATTATTGTAACATTTTTATTCGCACAAAAAATTATGCGATCATTCTAAGTAACATGCATGTTCGGGAATTATTAACACAGGGCGAGAAAAGCGGAATAAAAAAATTTATAGGGTCCTTGGTAAGGAGGCGTGTATGGACTTTATTGGTAAAAGAGGCAAAATTCGGAACCAGTATAAGTTCATTATTTCGCCATCGGAAGTATTAAGCCACGGAAAGGGGATTGCAAGCAGCGGTAAACATCACAGATATTCTATTGCAAGAAATAAAAAGAAATGTTGTTCGTCGAGTTTCCGGCAGTTCGGAGGATGTGCTTGTTGATGCTATTATAATTCACCCAACCATATTTCTTCCTAAAATGATACAGCAAACAATAAACCTACATCTTCAGACGATTATTTGGATGAGTTCCTGGAGGAGCCTAACACTGCTTGGTTGACATCCCACGAGAACGAAAACTTACCTACAAGTATTTACAAGAACAGTAACTTACCGTCAGATAATAGATAACTACTGCTTCAGATGTATTTCCGGAATAAGCTCATCAAGTTTGACTCATTACATATGGACAATAAGATCGCAAAATACATGTCTAAATATAATAAAGAAGTGGGTTAAACAATCTTACCATTCTCAACTGTATTATGTCCAATTGATGTGGCCGTCAGGATTCTTTTTGAATAAAGATCTAAGAACAATGATGGTTTCCTCGAGACATGGTCTTTCTAGAAAAATTTCTTTTATCAGCTAGAACACTTAGCCTTGATGTTTTTTCTTATACCAATGAGGTGCATCGTAATTAGGCTTTCAAATACAGTATATTAATCATAACTATCAAACATGAAATGAAATTAACATGGGCCAAGACCAACTCGTGTTAAATTATATATACCTTTTTTTGTTTTCTTTTCTTATTTATACTAATAGATTTTAGGAATTCAAATTTTTGAATTGATTCCATTGATTTGGTTATATGTATTTTTACTAAAAAAATATGTTAATATAATATATTATTATTTATAAAAAATACTTAGATACTTATATGAAAAAACATATTTTATCATATTTTATTTTGCAAGTTTTATTTTTATTAAAGATTTTTTCATCTCCTATTTTAAATATAGTATCTAATATATTTGATATTTTGATTGCACTATCAGAATTAGAATTTATGAATGAAAATTATTTAATAATCTTATTAACAAATACAATTTTGATATCTTCTTCTACAAATCCAATTTCACAAATTAATTGTTTAGAGTTATAAAGTAAGACAAAATACTAATAATGTATAAAATCATTACCAATATTATATGGGTAATTATTTTTGAAGGTGAACCAAAAATTTTCAGGGTATAAATTTACTACCCCATAATTTAAAATTCACAATTATAAAATTTATAATTTATAATATAAATCTTAAATAAATTAATATAATAATATATTTTTTTATTTTTTTAATAATAAATAAATATTTTAATTAAAAATAATAATAATTAATAATTAATATAATAATATAAGGTAAAACTTGCATGGAAGGAAAATAGCTAGACCCAAGGCTATATATAGCTATTATCTTTTTTTTTTTAACCTTTGCCATCAACTCAGGTACCTTTTATCATCTTTTTGCCAGTCTCCTAGTATTTCTTCAGGATACAGGGGTGATGATGTCAGTCCTAAATATTTGTCTTAGGTCTAAGCCTCTAAGTATAGACAGTAGGAGTGGAAAGTTGCTATTTCAAGGCAAGCAAACCTTTGCTATCATACCAGAATAATCATTGCCTATAGCCACCACTACAGTATTTCAACCATTCAGTTTAATCAAGACTTATTAGGATTTAGTCAGTGAGATATCATTGGCAGGATGAGGGTACACTAGTACATCAAATTTGTCTGGAAATCGGATCCAGCCTTACCCTTCCTAATCTAACCTAGCAACACATGCAGGGGTTACAATTTATAGGGGCATGCAGTCAATCGTTACAAGTGTACCCCTTAGGATAGAACATCCCGTGATACAAGCAACCTTCTACAATTCCGACCGGATTCTTGCTACCAACAAACATGTGAAACTCTTACTGATAGTTGTGCTACTAATGGTTTTAGCCGTTTGTATCTTTCCTTTCACTACTGGAAAGATCCCATGAAACTTTTTTCCCCCTTTAAAGGTATTTCCCAGGCAATACTTGATCAGAAAGTTTTACCAATCAGATCATCTATCTTTGGACCTATGGGGTATAGTCTACCCATAAGGCTTCTTGATCACTGGAACAATCCAAATTGTTTTCTATCATGAGTTACAGGAGCAGTGACACAAAGTCCCATTTTAGGATATGTGAATTGCCCCCAGCTGGGGTTGAACCATAATTCATAGGTTAACCCTACCCTGCTTTAGCCTACTGGACTATGACTGGGTAAGTCATTCATATATAGTTATTATCTATACTTTGGATTTTATCTTATATTATTATACATGTGCTTGAAATTAATTTTAAAATTTAAATCTAATTATCTTGATAACTAATAATTAGAATT